TAAAATTATTAATACCAAATCCTACCGTCACCATTTTATACATGTCACAAAACATTATTTATTATGAGTAGCCAAAATCATTGTTAAAAAATGTGAATCCACCGTACAGTTTAGGTCCAAAAATTGACTAGACAATAGTCGCATTACATTTTTCATTTGAAATGTGGTAAATACTCAATGTCTAACTCTCTAATTTTGTTGACTTAATGAAATATATAGGGCATGTTTGGCAGATTTTAATTTGATTTTAATTTAAGTCAAAGTCAAACAATCAATATCAACCACATCTTTTATGGGTCCCACATTTCAAAAACTTTTATCACAATTCACTTAAAATCTGATTTTAATCTACACCAAACACACTCTTAATGTCGTTTCGTGGCATGTGGATGCCTAATAGTGTCACGTAATTTGGATCGGACGACTATTAATATAAGAGCTATAAATTTAAATGATCGTTATTATTAAAAAATAATTTCAATCATCATTAATATAATTATATAAAATATAACAACCTCAAGTCCTCAACTACATCAACACTCGTTTGACGATCCAAAATCGAACCTGAAACCTCCACCAGTGGCTGTGATTCAGAGAAAGGCATGGCTACAGATCCACCTCAACCTCCATTAGCTCCTAACCCTTCTTGGTTTACTCCCAAAAGGTTACTTTTTTGTACGTTTAATGTGTATTTTTGTGCATAAAAGTGCTTATTATGTGGTGCTATGATGGGTTTCTTGATTAATTCAATAAATTTTATGTTTTGGTGGGTTTATAAATGTTTGTTTAAAAAAAAAAGGGGGCAAAAAGTGGACTCTTTACACTTGCCGGAGGAACTAATATTTGGAAAATAGTTTAGATTTTTTGGTGTAATTATTCGTGCGATGATGCTAACTAAATGTATATAAATCTAAAGGGAAGATATTTTAGTAGGATTTTCATGAAATTGACTGTTTATGAATTATGAGTTGGGTGGTGGAACGCACATAATGACTAGGGTTTTTGATTTTGAATTAATAGTAGATCAGGTAATGGAAGGGATGGCAAATATTAGGGTTTGATTCCCAATTAATTTTGAATTTTGTTGAAGTTC